GCACAATGGCATGATGATGATATGAAGGGATAAGGAGAAAATGAGGGTGTGAAACTTACCTACATATGCATTTACATCATATTTGTCTCATATGTATTTATGTTCACTTTAACGTTTGCTGATGCGATATAGTTGATTTTTCTTCTACTATTTTTTGGTTGCAAAACGTAGCGTATAGTAAGGTTCGTTTCAATTTGTTTTGTGATGTGTTGAGAATGAAGGAATCGGTTGAGATGTGTTGCGATGCATTGATAAGCGATATATGGTGATGTGTTGCGGAGGAGCAGTGAATCAGCATGGCAATGTGTTGAATAGAGCGAGGAAGAAGTGCAGAGACAGATGCGAAGAAACAAAGAAGAAAATGATACACAATTGAAGCGCATTTGGATGGTTTGCACATGATAATGTGTTTAAGTTTTCTTCTTAGATTCATTTAGGTTAAGACATTAACAAGGCATGTGGATAGGGCTTTGGCCTCAGGGAATTGTCATTTCACGCCTTATCTTCACTCATACACCCCCTTGGATGAGGGAATAAAGTCTTTTGTCCTATCCACAGAAGGGCCCTGCGCCAGATTCTTGACTTTCACCCTAGTTTCACTACTACACCCCTATTTATTGGAATTATTTTGATGATCTCTTTGAATTTTGTTCATGACTTTTTTGGTTTAATATTTTACTGGATTGGATCAATTTTCTACTTGTTTGGATTAATTGCCTACTTATTTAGATTTATTTTTTTCATGACCTTTTTGTAGGTGTTGATTTAATTCTTCAGTGATTACTATTGATTTAATTCTTTATTGGTTAGTGTTGATTTAATTCTTCATGATTTATATTTGGTTAATTGTTAATGACATTGCTTTATTTTGATTAAGTGTTGATTAATTCTTGATTAAGTGTTGATCAATTATTGATGTTTGGTATTGATTTTGATCCTTGATGCAAGTTGTGATTATTTCTTGATGCCTTTGTTTTGACTTGATTCTTGAGACAATTGGTGATTAATTCTTGCCTTGTTTTAACCTAGATGCATGTCGTGTGTTTGACACTTTGACATGAGTTTATCCTAGTACTTGAACCTTGTTTCATGTTTGATTTTTCCTTGATGATTGAGATGCTTTATGTTTACTTGTTGCTCGCTTTGTGATCGCACGCTCCTTTAGGGTTTCTTAGTTCAACTTAATTTTTGATTAAGTTAGAAGTAAGATAGACATTAGGCTCTCAATCCAAGCATGATCACATTAGGATATAATCGTCATCTAATAATAACCTTAGGACCACATTGCATGATAACATATAGGACCAAGTCTCCCTTAGATTTTGTGTTGTATCTTTCCCTTTTTCCTCTTAATCAATTCAAAACACTTAATAAATACGACGTGTATAGTGCGTTACGAGCCTTAAGCACATGAGAAATGATGAGTGAGAGTCTCTCTTTACCTCATCTAGAGAGCTTTATACGCGAGTCGTCTCGGATCGATCGTATAAAGTGCTCGCTTATACCGTCATAGACTTTAGCATGATACACATCACAAACCGATTCAATTTATTTCTTTAAAACACTTCAACACATTCAAATTGTTTTCATTCGGTTTTCTCTCCCTTCTTTTTCAAAAAGGCATGTTATTTCCGTTCTACGCAAACAGGTAGCGCGTAAGACTCCCGACAACAAGCGACAAACACCTAAACTGCTAGAGCGTGAATATTAGTATCGTCCATAAAAAACACTAGCAACCTATGGTCCCACGAACTCCAAACGCTCTGATTTCTCATTCCTGTTGAGAATACCTAGGCACAAGGACCCCAATCCTTAGAAAGCAACCTTCCCTTTCACCCGTAGTCCTCCGAACTACGCTGACTCTGACTTTTCCATTGCACGAGGGAATACATAGGCATAGGATTGCGAGATCCTATCGAGTCCCCTTTTGTTTTCTCCCTTTTTGTTTTCGAGTTCCCTTAGCAAGTAGGTCTTTAGATATACACACCCTTTGACTAGAACAACAAGAATGGATCCCATTAAGTACAATGGACACGAGAGGTGCTAATACTTTCCTCTTGCGTATTCGACTTCCGAACTCTGAATTTGGTTGCAAGACCATGTTCTTTCTCTTATGAGGTTTTCTCAATGTTTTCCTTTCCCCATTGAGATAAACAAAGTTCGATGGCAATTATGTGTCTTCGCCAGGTGTTTTTCGCGCAAGTGACACTACTGTCCAATTTGATCAAAATCAGAAATCCAATATAAAATTGTCTAATTCGAATCAATCTTGTAAAATTTTAAATTTTCAAATTTTCTAAAGCTTTTTGAGATTTTACCTTGAATCAAATTTGTTAAAAAAACACAAGGGGTTTCGTTTAACTATCATATGCTATTGATCAAAGAGCATTTAGATCAAGATCAAATCTAACCAAAGTTTTATGCATGCTAAACATGAGAAATGCAATTATGAAGGAAACTCAACGAATCGAAACAAAGACATAGATGAAAGAATAAGACAAGCAACAAATAACCGAATAGTAGAGACATGCAACAACAGTTTTTTGCTATGCAAAAAATACACAGTTGCCACCAAACTTTATTTATTCCAGAGGAAAGGGAAAATATCGATAAACCCCTTAAAAGAAAAGAAGATGGTCGTCGCAACAAAATCCGAGTTTTGGAGTAGATTATGCATGGAGAAGGTATTATCACCCATCACATTTGTTATACTCAACGAGAACCGTTTTGATTGTTCTATGCACAAATGGGTGTTATTGTCTAAATGTTACTTGTGATAGGAGAAAAAAGTTTTAAATTAGTGTGCTCACCAAGATCTCACAATCCCGTGTCTACGTATCCTCATAGTGCAATAAGAAAATCAGAGCTCCGTAGTTCGTAATATAAAATAAGAGTTTGTTGGTTGTTTTTAGTGGACAATATTAACGTTCACGTCCTAGCAGTTAAACGTTACTTATATGATTGCGAACAAGAGACTTAAGCGTTATTTGTATTATGGTAGAACGAAAATAACATGCCTCTTTTGTGAAAAGTTTTTTGAACGCCCTAAGGCAGAAAGTTGAATTCGATTGTTGTGATTGATTTTAGAGTAGGAGACAAACGTCAGACCACAAGTTAAGTACGATCGGCAATCCGAGTACTTGGGAGCTGAAAGGATAGTGGTTTCTTAACCTCTCCTTTTTCATCCAAAGAGTTTTTTGTTTATGAAATTTGTAAGGAGAGGTTACTCATTGGTGTTTAGAAGGAGACAAACATCTAACCACGGGCTAAGTATGTCCAAAAATCAGAATACTCGGGAGTTGAAAGGATAATGGTATCTCAACCTCTCTTTTTCACCCTACGAGGACCAAATTAAACTCGTTTTATTTTAAGTGTTTTGAATGGAACACAAACATAAGGCCACAAGCTAAGCACGACCAACAACCCAGGTACTTGAGAAATGGTGTGCACAAGTACGTACACCTCAACCTTTTTCATCCAGTTTATTGTGAAAATATTTTGAAAATGACTTGACGTTGGATCAAGTGTTTGAAGTTTGAAATGTGAAATTTGTGTGAATGAAATGGAAGAGATACTTGATGCTGGATCAAACACTTGCGTTGTGTTCAATGGAGTTAGATTTGGAAAATACTAGACGTTGGATCAAGTTTATTTTTATTTTTTTTGAAAAATGTTATTTTTGATCGTTTTGGTTTTATCTTGTTTATTAACATACAAGGGAAAGCGGTAAAGAAAAGTAAATCCTACGCTATTACATGTCCACAGGATGGGGGAACATTCTACCCATCATGAGGGGATGAATTATAAACCAATACACTTTTATGGGAATTAAGAACCTTTTACTCATAATAGAGAGATGAATCAGAAACCATACAAGAATTAAATCCATACAAAATTTCAATCATGCCCACGAACAAATCATAAGAAGGCATTCAAGAAGCCTAAACATTCATGAATTTAAAAAATAAAAAAAATTTAAATGCAAAAGAATTAAATTTCAATAAATTCTAAATAAAAATTACCTCCCAAAACTAATCATGATTAGTTTGCTCATTAAAACCTAAAGGGAGTTATTTTGATTATGGATTTTTCATCGAAAAGTAGATTAAAGTTCTAACCATTAATTTTCCAAGTGATATCATGATGAAAACTAAGAATCAAATTAAAAAATTAGGGATTAATCCTAATTAATATCCTAAGCCTTAATATTTTATTGATTTCTAAAATGGATTAAATGAAAAAGGCAATTAATATAAGCATCTAAGCATATTATCTTTCTAAAATTTTCATACAAAATATTAAAAATGATAAAATGTGCAAGAAATGAATAATGAAAAACAAGTAATAAAAATAATAAAAGGAAGAAGAAAATAAAGGGAAAAACCAGAGGGTGGCAGTGCCACATGTAGGTTGCAGTAGGATTTCTGGCTTGGGCTTTACAACCAAGCCCACATACGCTGAAGTTTGGTTCAGCAAGGAGGTTCAACATGGAAACAGGGGTGTTTTATGCAGTTTGGCTGGGCTCGGAATAACAAGCCCAGTGTACTATAGCAAACTCGGAGCCAATGTACTATAGCAAACTCGGAGGGGTGTGTGTAACATGGTCCCAGGGTGCAGGAAAGCAAGTGCTTAGGCCAAAGGCCCAATTAGACTCAGCCAAGGCAAGTTGAGAAGGGGTCAATACACTCGTGTTCAGGTTCATTCATTCGTGTTCAGCATGTTTCACTCTCAAACCTGCCTGGCCAGAGAACAACATCTCCGCCGCGCCGAAAATCGCTTCTAGCAGCGGCGGAGGGCCAACAACCAACTCTTACATCAAACTCCTCGTCTCGCTTTCCTCTTTCACTCTATCACGTTCGATTTCCCTAATTCACATTCCAATGTCCAAACCGATCCAAAACAACCTATGAACCATAGCTCTCAAATCCTAAATTAAATGAAACAAAGGAGGAATCAAAACCTAATTCCTTAGGGGTTTGATTCCTCAAGCAGTAGACTACATGTTGGTAACAGAAACAAGGCGAAGCGATGGTGAAAATCCTACCTACGAGACGGGGAAGTGTCCTGGTGAAAGTTGCAACAGTGATGATGGAGAAGGAACAAAAGTGCTCAGGTATGTAATCTGAATTTGACTTCTTCTTGCAGCGAATTCTTCTCCCTCTTCTTCTACTTTTTATGTAGTCTGTGGGTTGCGTTGATCTTGATGATATGAATCGTTGTTGCGTGTGCTTGATACAGAGAGTGAGATTGAGCGAGATTGATGAAGAGTGAGAATTTGTGAGATTGATGATTGTGATTTTTCTGAGTCAGTGAAAAAATGATTGGTGTGATGATTATACAGAGGTTGGGTGTTAACTAAGTTAGGCTCTCTTAACTATCTTCTGTGCAAATCAGTTGTAGGTTATAACACTGTTAACTTTTTAGTTAAAGTTAATTGAGGAATCTGTTAGGGTTAGGCTGAATTGAGTTTGTTAAAGTTAGTCTGTTGCTTTGAACTTGGTTAGTTAGTGAGGAAGATGTTAACTCTGTTAATTCAGTAAGTTGGTTAGTTAGAAAACTCTGTTAAAGGAATGTTAGCTCTGTTAGGAATATTAAAAAATTATGTTAGTTGGAAGTTAACTAGTTAGGTTAATTTGGATTGTTAAATTATGTTAACATGTTATTGATGAATCATTGTTAGAGATGCTTGGAGTTAGGTTACACTATTGTTAGCTTGTTAGTTGAAATTAGAGTTATGTTGACAATTAGTAAAGCTAGGATGAATAATTGATGTTAGCTTAGCAGGCCACTGTTACTTGTTAAAATGACTGTCAAAATGAGGAATGTTTAGAATTATGAATTTCCAATGGAGAATGTTAAAATAGCAAGCAACTGTAGTTGTTATGAATTTCCCAAAGGTTTGAATTTGGTGCAAATTGGTTCTTCCTCTTCATGCTCTATAATGCATTAACTTGTCCATGTATTTATTATGCAAACTAGACTGCTGATAGGTTGTATCTAGGTAGTTTTTACATTTGCTGGTTTGGGTATTTTATGGCTATGCAGAGATACTTGAATCAACTGCAATGATGCTAATTTGATGCTAACTGACTATTATCTATACTGCAATGGACTTGATCTTTTCTTTTTCTTTTGAATGGTAAGGATGTATTATGCTTGGTCTTGAAAATTGCTTGAATTGTTTTGAATGAATGAACATAGTCTTATGATATGGTTTGTGACTAATGCTTTGTTTATGTCCTTGTAGGAAAGAGTGGGTATGGATTGAAGGATTAATCAAGGCTTGGAACTTTGATGAAAAAATCATGAATAAGGCTACGGATAACTTGGGAGTGAAGAAAATGTTGTAACTAGGATTAGGACTAACAGAGTTGACTTTGGTCAACTGGTTGACCAAAAAGTCAACAGTTGACCAAAGTCAATTGTAGGTCAAAGTTGTAATTTCTTGGGTTGGTTTTGATTTTGTGAGGATGATTTGTAATGGGATGCTTTGGAAATGTGAACCTTGATATCTTGTAAATGAAAATGGATTTGAAACTTGATAGATTGAGTTCTCCCTCCAAATTGTATGACCTTATCTGAGACCTTATTCTTGAATTTGACATGACTTTTGAATTTCCTTAATGCAGTGCCTTAAAACCAAATCAAGCACTTAAAGGACTAACACATGGAGGAAAGCCCATCAAGAGGCCAATAAATTAAATGCACATATCCACAATTGACCAGAGTGATCTTTTTGCAAATTCTGATTAAATCCACACTAGAATGCCGCACACAAGAACCATGAGCGCTAAAAGTCGATAAATTAGGGTTTTTATGGATGTTGGCTCATTATATAGAAACCTCCCAGCTTTAATGTAACACTAAATACCCCTAGGCATGATTACTTGGGAAAAACCCTAGTTCCTTGTTAGTTATACAAACTTTTGAATCCGTGATTCTTGTAAATAGATGATATGAATGAACTTGGCATGAATGTATGTAGATGATATGAAGATCCATAGTCAGATGAAAAGTAGAAAAGGTATGACAAATTTTGGGGTATGACAAGTTCTGCCCTTTTGATCCATAGGTAAAATAACTTTTCAGACATAATCACAACTGTAAAAACCTTTGACTTAACTTTTTTTTTGTAAGCCTTAACTATTCGATCTTTTTTTCTTATAAGAAAGCTTATGGTAGCTAACCCCTCTTCATCTAAATCAACTAACTCATCTGGCATCATATTTCAATAATGGTCAGATGGAATTTAGAATTGCCTTTGGATTCTAACTGACTGTAAGTAAATCTCAACAAGCAAGAACATATCATGACCAAATGTCAATCGAAAAGGAGTAGAAATAGTTGTCTCTTTAAAAGACGTTTGATGTAACACCCCGATTCCCAAATTATAAATAAAACGATTCAAATAACATATATAAGAGTATCACTCCCAACCGGGATGTCACAATTCACATAAAAATTCCACAAGACATTTTTTTCCAAATAAATATTAACTGATTTATCCAATAAAATTGCAGCGGAAAGGACATAGCCTGTCATAACTCAAAATATCATATATACGCCATCCATAATACACAAAACATCATATATCATCATATGTACAACCATAGGCCATCTGCTTCAAAACATAATAAACATGGCATCATCAAGTATCCATACATATCCCAAAACCAGATACGCCACTGGGGCACACGTAGTCAACACATAAACAAGTAACTCCCAAAAACGCATCGATGTTACGTATCAGAGCAACCTACAAAGACGCCTCAATCCAAGCTAGCTAACCACCTGGATTGTCTGTACTTCCGAAGAAGCACATACCACAACAACAACAAAGGGGTGAGAATCACGATCAAATAATAATGGCATATACGTACATGAAATAAAAGGCAGGATCATATAAATAATTTCATATACATAATAACTGGACTCACTGTCCCACTACCAACCACAACATCCAATCACACAACACATGCGCACACACTCATCCCAAAACGTACGGTATCGACTCACAACAACGATGGGCAACTGGCCATCAACCCTCCACACAGGAGCACATATCAACGATGGGCACCTGACCATCAACCCTCCACACTGGGAGCACACCACACTGATAGGCAACTGCTATCACCCTCCACTATGGGAGCACATCTCCGATGGACACCTGGCCATCACCCTCCCCACTGGGAGCACACCATTAACATCGATAGACAACTGGCTATCACCCTCCTCTATGGGAGCACACCATATAATATTGATAGACAACTGGCTATCACCCTCCACATAGGAGCACCACAATAATATATCGATGGACAACTGGTCATCACCCTCCTCACAGGAGCACCACAACCATATTCACACGCATCATACATCTAGCACACTAAGTGCAAAACGATCCTATGGATCCACCCCTCACTCAGTATATACACGCGACGCCCAAGGCGTGCCGATCCCACGGATCCACTCACCATACAACCTATCACACACAATGCACACGAGGCATGCCGGTCTCACTGACCCAACCTCATCATAAAACAACACATAAGTGTCGCTACTGCGAAAATCGGCGCCGGCTGAACAGAAGAGTCGCCACCGTGCGTTATTTATCCCACGGGAGGGAAAGGAAACGCTCAGAGTAAACCTCGCACAACACGGGAAAGGTATGGTCGTCGCAACCAAAACCTGGGTTCGGGAGTCGGTTACGCAAGGGGAAGGTATTAGCACCCCTCACGTCCGTCGTACTCGACGGGATCCACGCTTGTTTTCGGGTATGGATTGTTATTCTATCTAAACTATAGGTCAAGGGTTAAAAAGAAAATAAAATGAAAACAAAAAATGACTCGGCAAAGTATCGCACTTTATGCCTACGTATTCCCGTCTGGAACGAGAAATCAGAGTCAACGTAGTTCGCCTACCTACGGGAAAGGAGGGGAAGGTTGCTCGCTAGGATATCGCATCCTATGCCTACGTACTTTCACACGGCATGAAAGATCAGAGCAAACGTAGTTCGGGCCACGTACGACACAAGCTTGTCCTTGATTAATTTTATTCCTTCTGAAAAAGGTTTTTTCTGATTAACAGTCCCGGCGGACAAAAATGACGTTTTGATGAGTTCACCTTCTTTTACGGAAGAAGTGTCTTTTATTGTGTTTGAAATCTTTATGTGTTTTTCTGTTTGTTTTGAGAAAGAAAGAGACAGAACTCTAACCTACGGTTGCGAAGGGGATCAAACTAACCTAATGTTATCATGCATGGGTTAAGACCTAGTGTCTATCATGCTCCTCTCTTGCACAGAGAGAAACAGAGATCCTACGGGATAGGCAGAAACAGAAACAATACCAGATATATACAGTAAAGCAGTAAAATGCATGGATGCAACAGTACAAGCGAGGCAGGGGAGTCCCACTCAACCTCGAACCTAGAAAACAATAGGCAAAAGTGAACAGACTTCACTTTCAACCCAACAGGGTAAACAGCAAACAATACAGTCCAGAAAACCAATCAATACATCCAGAAAATGAAATACAGCAAAAGAAACAGCATCAGCAGCTCTGAATCAACATCTGGCTTCAAGTAATCTCCAATCAGCTACAGGCTTCAACAAGCATCAATCTCCATCTTCATGGCCTTCAGGCAAAGGCTTTGATCATCTGTCTTCCATCTGCAATGGCTTTTCTTCATGCTCAAACCTCCAGGATGAGGGATCAGTCACAAGAGTGAATTGGGTGTTAAGCAATCAGTTGACTACCAAGGGTGGTGAACAGACTGCTTCTAACACAAGAGACATTTTCTCTCAAGAGTTCTATCTCATAGACACTATCACCAAGCCTTCCAAAGGAAGGGGGTGAGTGTCTTAGAGAGACTCTGAATCACAGAGAAGAATGGATGCAGACAAGGCAATCCATGTTTGAGAAACAAGCTTTCTAATCTAGAGCTCTGCCTAGCTCCTAAACCCTAGTCTCCTCAGCAGCTGCTAGCAAGAACCTCCTCTCCAACTCTGGCAGTTGATCTTCAATCTCTGGATCTCCAATGGTCTTCATCACCTCAAGTCTTCAGCTCTCCCAAATCCCCAGACAATCCCAATACCCAAACAAGCAAGCAATAATCCCCAGAGGGCACACCACACCAGTCAACCAGATATATACAGAGCATTAATAGCAGTAGGGGAATCCTGACTTTTTCTAAGGGATCTAATAACTACCCATAGCCCTTATAGTCCCATAACTAAACTAGTCAAACCCTAAGTCCTAAGGGAAAGAATCAAACTTCTTAAGTCACCACCTAAAACCCTAATTTGTTCATGTTGTTCAAGCCTACATTAATCACCTAAAATTAATTCCTAAAAATGGGAACTAAATTGTTTCTACAAGTTCAACATCTCATCTAAACAACCTAAAAAGAATAGACAAAAAATATTAAAGCATCTAATAGAACAAAAATTAATAAAATCATGCATGAAATGAAGCTATTTAAAATGACATTTATTTAGAAAATATGAAAAAAATATGAAATAAAAATGAAAATGCAATTTTATTTAATGACAATTTTCTACACATCCTAAAGAAAATAGTGTAAAAAGAATGAATTGAAAATGATTTTTTATGTATTTATTATGAATTAATGAAAATGCATAAAAAAAATTAAAGAATATAAAAGAAAATAATGAAATAAAGGGAGGGGGGTTTGTTCAGCAAGCGCGTTCAGTTGATATTTCATTGGGCCAGGCAGTGGTGGGGTGCGCATAGCATTCCATATCAGGCCCAGAACAAGTCAGCATTGATGAAAATAAAAACACAAGCTGGGGGGTGAAAATAGAAATAGAATCACGTTCAAAACTGATTGGGCTTAAAACTGGGGGGTGGGGATATCACTCATGCACTCAGGCCCGCCCGTTTCAATTAATGAAACGGTGCGTTTAGGGCACCACGCTAATTCCCTCCAAATTCTGAATCAAATCTCAGCCACACGATGGGCTTCTGAGTCAAAGGTCTTGCACCAAACGGACGCTCCAGATTTCGTCTTCTCCAATGGATCATATGAGCTAGGGTTTACACCATGAAAGCACATGCACGAGCAAACTTCCCTCAATCGGTTCTCCTTCCACAATCCATGAAACACCACGATATAAACATGAAAAATATTCAGAATCTCTCCCTCTACACGTTTATGGCCTTTGTTTGCATTAGAACTCAACCAATCAATAAACCCGCGCGCAACAATCTCTGGCTCCATGAAAATACACTGAGATGCATCACAATAATTCTCAATCAAGCTTATCCTAATCTAATCTATGACTAATGGTGATTATCCTGCGCTAACAACCTAAGATTCTAATGCACTAATCCAC